AAACAAATGTTGGTTTATGGGAGGTAGGTTTGAACCTACACTTTCCTAAAGTGCACCACTGGTGAATAAATATTTCTTAAGAGCATTCTTAAGTAGATTTATTACATTTCTTGATCAATTTGTGCCTTATCCATGGTTGCCTTCCCAACCTATATCACGTATAAACACGAATTTACTGTATAACATAAAAGTTACATTATAAATTGAATGGATTAAACTGATTTTGATGTGTTTATTTCAACTTAAGCATTGAGAAGAATCTTTTTTTCAGTATATCTCATAAGAGCAAAAGTTTTACTTTTAATATTGCTTGTTTTATATACTATCATAGAAATTTTATTTTAGCAGCTATTTGTTTTCAAAGAGAACGAAATTAACTATTATATTTCACGTCATTATTGCCAATCTGCTATTTGACTCCCATGTCGATCATGACTTGCAACTAATTACTCGTGTAATTATCTCTAACGACTATATACGTGTGTGAGAGTGAGAAAGAGAGTGTATATGTATAAGTAATCTCCTCATGAATTAATTTTGCTTACGAAAAGCACTAGCAGCTAAAAAGTTAGCAGTTTGTCAACACATTTATTATTTAAGTGTGCTCGGAAAGGTGCGTTCATTACAAGAGCAACCAAACCTTAATTCTTGCCAATATACAAAGCCTTATGTAAAAATAAATCTATTTCCAGGATTACGAGCAAATGTATACAAATAAAAAATCGATGAACCTTAAGGTATCCGACTACGTTCGGAACAGTAATTTTTTTTTAAAAAAAGCATAAATGGAACCTTTTCATGACATTGTGTCACTTAGATTAGAATACATGTATACTGTTTTATAAGGTCATTCTGACAAAAAAAATTATTTAAATACAATATTTCGGCAAAAAAACTAACTTAGAATAACCTTTTATTCAAAATGTTTTTCTTTTGTGAAAAATGCTTCTATTATAATAATATTTTGCCTGTATATAGCTTAGACCTCTGTACCGAGGCTCAATTATGATTTTTGAAAAATTCACATTATTTTCAGTTACAACCAATCGAAATAATTATCGGCGTTTTTTTCTTAAAATTTCTCCACTCTGTTGTCGTAAAACATGGATAAACCCACTTCTAAGTTATATATTTCAAAAATTCTTGTTGAGCTTCTGTACAGAGGCTGAGCTATATACAGACAAAATATTATTATAATTGAAGCATTTTTCACAAAAGGAGAATATTTTGAAAATGGGTCATTCTATGTTCATTTTTTGTCAAAATATTGTACTTAAATAATTTTTTATTGTAATACTACTCTTAAAACAATTTTATATACATTTTCTAATCTAAGTGACACTAAATATTAAAATATTATCCATTTATAAGTTTTTGCAAAATCACGGTTCCGAACCCGTATTCGTATACCTTAAGTAATTTTAACATATTCTTATATAAACAGTCATCAGTTCTAATATAAACAGAAATTTTACATTTTTGTATTTGGTCATACTGCATTATACCGACAGCGGAATCAACCCTGATTTCGTTGATTTCATCAACTTTTATTTCATCAAACGGTCAAGAATTTTCAGGATTTTTCTCTTTTTCAATTCCTACTAATAGGTCACACTCTCTATATATTTATTTATTTATCTTGTTGGAATTTTCAATCGTTAATAATATACATTTTAAAGCGCTCAATTGAGTTGAAATTTTATATACATGATTATTTTGGATGACAATACAATAATTTAACTATAATTAATAAAAATTAACTGATTAAAACTAATTATTTAAAGAATTACAAATACAGCCACAATGGCTTGATTTTTGGCGACTTGTGACAAAACTTGAAAATGTTTTTTTCCCCACGTTTTAAAGTATTCAGTTGAACTGAAATTTTATATACACGAATGTTTTGGATAACAATATAATACATTAACGATAATTAATAAAAATTAATTACCACTTAATGTTGTGATTTTCTTGTATGTATATATTAGTTGAACTGAAATTTTATATACACGGATGTTTTGGATGACAATACGATAATTTAACGATAATTAATAAAAATTAATTACCACTTAATGTTGTGATTTTGTTGTATGTATATACATATTTATAGTAATTTTAACTATTTAATGAAAAGTAGCTAAAATAAAAATTTTCTTTGTTGATTTAAGTAGGAATTGACTTATTTTTTTTTTTTATTATACTTGTTTGAAATATGAATTATACCAAATGCTCTCGTCTAGGATACATTTGGCATTTTTTCAAATGTATCTATGCTTTTGAAATTGTTTTGCTTGACGAATATTTTTTCATTACTTTATTCAGGTTCGAATGCATAACACAGATGTAAAGTATCCGCTTCGTAACCCCAAGGCGGCAAGTTCGACCCCTGATGGAGTCAATAGATTTTCTCGATGCGAAAATCGTAGGCACGCATGTCATATGATTATGTGATATATATAAAAGATCCTACGAGTTTTAATTTGGCTCTGATACTCTAGGCAAAAATAAAATCATGGTAATAATTTACATCCGATGAGAGCTTGATTTAAAATTAATCATAGCGTTAAACTTTTCTAGACGATGGTGCCACCATAAATTGGCTAACACATTTAGAACTTGACATTCAGCAAAGGCTTAGCTGCTAATATGTAGGCCATTAGGAAAAAATACATATTTTCTTTGGTACTGAATCTTTTTAAAGGATTTCATTGGGGTCAAGAAGAAAATATATTTTGGCATGCTTAAAAATTTCACTTTTAATATGAAGCAATACAGAAAGAACAGCTTTATCAATTTTCATTTTGACAGTAATTAAGAAATTTGTTTCTTATTCCGTGGGTTCCTCTCCGAAAATAATTAAGGTGTTAAATTTTGAATATCCAGTACAGGTATCTCAAGTGAAATTTGATCGAAGTTTTCATTATATTCTAGGCAACGTAGCTCATTTCACAATTTAAGTTTCTCTGATTCAAATATTATTCTACCCTTACGTTTCTCTCCCGTTTATTCGTCATGGCATTTCCTTATCTCACTTCGACATTTCCTTAAAGTTCATCCATTACTATGAATATTTTACAACTCTATCAAACTCTTCCCTGTTAGATCCCTTAGCTATCAGTTTTAGCAGTTCGATAAACTTAAAAGTGTGTCTTACGATTTCTTACCTTAAAACTTTTCCAATATATGCAGTATTAAGCTTTTAATAAAACACTTCATAATATATTAATGTTAATAATGTTTTAAAATATCTATAAACATCGTTGCTCAAAAAAAATATCGGCACTATTATTAACAATGAAATACGTATTAAAAAATAGTATATTTAAGGTATCAGACTACGTTCGGAACCGTGATTTAGCAAAAGCGTGTAAATGGATAATATTTATGATTTTTAATGTCACTTAGATTAGAATACATGTATAGAATTGTTTTAAGGACATTAGGACAAAAAAAAAATTATTTAAATACAATATTTTGGCAAAAATTAACTTAGAATAACCTTTTTTCCAAATGTTCTCCTTTTGTAAAAAATGCTTCTATTGTATTAATATTTTGCCTGTATATAGCTCAGACCTCTGTACAGAGGCTCAGCTATGATTTTTGAAAAATTCAAATTATTTTCAGAGTTACAACCATTTGAAATAATTATCGGCGTATTTTCTTAAAATTTCTCCCTTCTGTTTTCGTAAAACATGGATAAACCGACTTCCGAGTTATGCATTTCAAAAATTCTAGTTGAGCCTCTGTAGAGAGGTCTGAGCTGAATACAGGCAAAATATTAATACAATAGAAGCCTTTTTTGCAAAAGGAGAACATTTGGAAAAAAGGTTATTCTAAGAAATTTTTGCCAAAATATTGTATTTAAATAATTTTTTTTGTCATAATGTCTTTAAAACAATTGTATACATGTATTCTAATCAAAGTGACACTAAGTATCATAAATATTATCCATTTACGCGCTTTTGCAAAATCACGGTTCCGAACGTAGTCGGATACCTTAAATGGGAACCTTCAAATTTAATACTATCAGTTTTCAAAAGCAAATATTACTTGGCAACATACTTTCTTAAACCTTTTTGAAGGTATACTGTTTCAAGTTTTTAATGAGAGAAACACTTCTTAATATATTAATATTAATAATGTTTTAAAATATTTATGAACATCAAAACACGAAATGTATTAAAATAGTGTTTAAAAATAAGAGTCTTTTAATTTAATTCTATTAATTTACAAAAGCAAATATTATTTGGCAACATACTTCCTTGTTTATCAAATTTTGTTGCTACCAATGAAATTAAGTATTTGGTAATAAAAAACAAACTTTTTTAATCTTACTTTGGTTTTATTAATATTATTTGCAAAGCATGAACTAGTCGAGTTTAGATAATATTTTAATTAATTATATTTTAACTATTATATAAAATATTTTCTTTTAATTAGTAAATATTACTTTTAAATTTAATAAAAAATTTAGCAAAACAGTTTTATAAAAATTATATCTATCAAATAAACAAAATTTGTTTCACTGATCAAAGTTTACTTATTTAAATAAGTAAGTTTGATGATTGCATATATATAACGTCTTTGATATACAGTAGTCTTTACGACATTTTTAATTTTCGGAATGAAAATCAAATGATAAGCAGTTGCGCAGAAGCAACAACTTAAAAACATTACAATGATAAAAATTAAATCTTAAAACCCAATCACAATTTATCTTGTTTTCCTTGTTCTTCTTGTGTACTTATTTATTCAATTCTACTATTAGCTCACACTCTCCCTCTATATATATTTGTACGTATATCTCTTGTTCAAATTTTAAATCGTTAATAAAATACTTTTTATTTATCCACTCAAGTTCAAATACATTTTTTTAAACTTGTAGTGGATGACACTTCATGTTAATACAGTTTTTCAAGTATTAATTCATTAATTAATAAATTGTAACAAGCAAAAATAATAGTCCAATACGATATATAAAAAGGAAAACCGCTCGCTGTGTCCTTGTAGCATAATCGATAGCGCGTTGAACTTCTAATTCAAAGATCATGGATTCGAATCCTACCTGGGATTGCATAATTTCTGAGAATGTGATTTCTTTTTACTATACTTTTTTATCGAAATTTTTCTATTTCACTAATGAATAAATAGTAACAAACAAAAATAATAATCCAAACAATATGTATAGAAAATAAAATCGCTTTTTTTTCCCTATTTTGCCACTTAATATTGTGTGATTCTGTCATGGGCCTGGGTTCAAACCCCGGAGAAAGTATGGTGGTTTGAAAATGAAGGGTGCCTTTTTGTGCGGTAGGGGGTACTCTAAATAGCGGTCGAGGGGGCTTTTCCTCTCTTTTTCTCTCAAAATTGGGGTGGAACCGATCTAAGTCGTTCTATCCCCTGTATGGTGCTCAAAGCTACGGCTAACGATAGGCGTTCATCTTAGACCTCTGCCGATATATATTTTGAGGACCTCGACCTAACACCATCAGGCAGGTGGTATTAGAAACAACATACATTTTAAATCCAATTAATGGCGATTTCAGCCCCATATTTTGGGTTGTATCAAATTATTTATTTAATCAAGGACCTTTTAAAATGTTAATTTGGTTGATCGGTCATTACACAATCAATCAAACTATCCCGTTTACAAATATAAAAAATAAAATATCAAACTAAATCTAATGGTACAATTCAAAATAATAATAATAAAAAAAAATTTCATGAGATGGCAACAGTTCCATAAAGATAATAACATGAACAAACATTTTACACACACCTCTAAATTGTATAGCCTTTTTTATGGTATTCTGATGATAATAAATTGTACTTAGAACGAACATGGTCCCAAATCACTTAAATTTAAGTTATTTTTTTATAAAAATCAAGCTTGTAATTTTTAAAAATACTAGCTGACCCAGCCACAAGTTGCTGGGGTTTTGTTGTAATGCGTTGATTTAATATTATTCTAAGTTAATGTATAGTCAAATTAATCTTTCCTTATAATTTCGGAGATTTGAAATTAAGCATAAAACAACATATTTTAATTTTGCCTTTAATTCATCTCCTGTTTGAGTATAGTATAATGCATGAATTACTTGTAAAACTGTTTTTTTTTTTTGCATAAAAAATTGATTCTGTTTTCATACTTGTGTCATGGTAAACTCGTCTTGATGTTATTATAGATAGTTTTGATATTTACGTGATTAAAAGAGAAAGCGTACACAAAAAAATTTCCTAAATACGAGCAGATAACGATGTTTAGGATACAATGAATACTGAAGATAAACTGTGCGGAGGGGAGGGGGGAGATAAGTTATGGATGCAGGTGGCCATAATGGACGGGTACATTTTTCCTTTTGAAAGGGGTGAAAACTTAACTTCCCCCATCCAACAAATGTTTTGCCTTCGATTCTAAGCCACACCCGATTCTTAAAATCATTAACACTTGAAATAGTACGGCTTAGATTTGAGTAAATTCGGTACATTATTTTTGTAAGAAAATTTAATATTCCTTACTAAAAATATTATTAAAAAAATATCAATTATTACTAAAGGGAAACCTGCATTTATTTCTGCATTTAAATTCTTACACAAAAAAAAAAAAATCAAACTTCTATTAAGCGAGAAATGTTAAATTATTTTAATGTAAATTCTCATTTGAGGAATACTTTCAGACTCAATTCATTTATTTCCAGGTGTAATCAGCCTTTCAATGCATAACGAAAAGTAGTGTATAAATATGTGCGTGTGTGTTTCCCATTATTATTAAATAAATGAGTTTTGTTTTTAAGAAACTTTTTTTCTTGGCTCATAATTGTGTGACTTCCACAAAAATTTTAGATTTCTCTGCAGATAATAATCTGATTTTTGGCAATGCCATTTTGTTTGGGGGAGTTCTTCTCGTACGGGTTTTTAAATACACTTATTTAATCTATTTTGAATTTTGCTTAAAAAAGACTTTTGTGGGTTTTTTCTGTGAAATACGTGTGCAGCTTTTTTTCGTAAACAATAAAAAAAAAAGCTTTCTTACAAGCTCAAGAAATTTGCATTCTGCAACCAAAAGTAATTTTTATAGTTTAGGTTTTAAGTTTATTAGCTAAGCGCAAGCACTTCCATTTTTAGGACAGATTTTTTTTCTTGTACTTTTTTAAAATTCCGTCTTTTTTAGTTATTGAATTTTTTAAACTTATTTATTTGTACTTTTTTCCCCATCACTCAAAGGGGAGCATCCACTTGTAAATTTTCTTATTTTGAGGGCTATTTTTTAAAAATTTATTTACATTACAAATATCTTTATTTAATTATTTTGCATTTTTCAGAATGTACAACACACATATATAACTACTACTAATAATAATATGCATTAAATAGCTATAGTTCTAAGAAATCATAGCATAAATACAACACAGTAGTGCAATACCAAACGCTTAGTCTTAGAAATTAAGATAGCAGGTTTAAGCCTTATCAATTAAGATTGCAGATTTAAGCAGCATTAGGAATTAAGATTGCAGGTTCAAACATTGTTTTGAGACCAGCCTACCTCAACCCGTAATTTGCCGATAATTTTGGACAGAAGACGATAGAAATAGGAGTAAAAATATATCATTATATATATATATATATATATATATATATATATATATATATATATATATATACTGGGTGTCCATAATTAAACTTGAAATTTTATAGCAGTCTGTAGCAAAAACTATACAGCGGAATTCGCTTGAAAATTGGGTGACGGCAGAATGAAGTAATGAGAATTTTATTGAGGGAAAAAACAATGAGTTTCACCTCCCCCTCGGTGGCGTATATAGCTTTATTGATAACATATAAATAATCTACAAAGGTTTACAAAAAATGCTCGATATGCTGTCCCTCATTGCCTTCTACCATCTGGAAGCGCAAAATGGCATGTTTGACTGTGGAAAGCAGCATGAATTGGGGAATGTTACGCATACAGCATTCTATCCTTTTTATAAGGTCGGATACAGATATTATGGGATCACGGCAGACCATGGCCTTAAGGTATCCTTACAGCCAAAAGTCGCAAGGATTCAAATGGGGGAATCTAGGTGGCCAAGCTGTAGGAAAATATCGGCTGATTATTCTGTCGTCCCCGAAATGTCAGCGGATCACGTGTTTCACACAACAGGCGATATGTGAAGGAGCGCCATCCTGCATAAACACTGTGGCTGTATCACATCACCTTGACTGAAAAACCAGAATAACGGATTGCTCTAATAATGAAGTGCATCGTTGACGGAAGACGGTGTATGCTTGTGGACGTAGCTTCAAAATTTCTAATCATATTTGTTATTCTTTGACTATTGAGTGGACCTTTACGTAATCGCTTCAAAGACCGAAATTTCAGTAAAGCCTTCGTAGAAAAGTCAATGTTTTGTTAAAACAATTTTACCAGTAAAGCACTTTTCTGGAGAGTCAACGTCATCTTGCTTGACTTGGAAACGAGAATGATTGTGGTGCGCATCTCGCCTCTTCCCATCTTGCGGGTTGCTACGCTGTATAGGATTACTATGGTTACAACTTCTGAATATGCCAATAGTTAATTTTACACAACCCCCTCTAGTGGTGGTTTTTGAAACTCATTGTTTTTTCCCCTCGATAAAATTCCCCTCATTTCATTCTGCTATTACCCAATTTAAGTTTAATTTCGCTGTTTATGCTACAGACTACTCGCAAATTTCACGTTTAATTATGGACACCCAGTATATATCAAAAAATTACTAATATTGCTAAAATAATTACAATGATTTAAAATATGTTGTTTTCTAAAAGCCCATGCCTTTGTAAGAAAAAGAAGCAAAATCAGATCTTTACTCAGAAATTCAGTTCAGAGATTGGGATTCAAACATTTCGTGTTGGTAAGTTCAGTCATTGATGCATCGGTAGAGCTATATAAAGTTATAGTTTTACTGCTATGTTTTTTTAACTTAAGGTATCCGACTACGTTCGGGGAACCATGATTTTAAAAAAGCGCATAAATGTATAATTTTCATGATATTTAGTGTCACTTACATGAATACAGAATACATGTATATATATACATATATAGAATACATGTATAAAATTGTTTTAAGGACATTATGACAAAAAAAATTATTTAAATACAATATTTTGGCAAAAAAATAACTTAGAGTAACCTTTTTTCCAAATGTTCTCCTTTTGTAAAAAATGCTTCTATTGTATTTATATTTTGCCTGAATATAGCTCAGATCTTTGTACAGAGGCGCAACTATGATTTTTGAAATATTCAAACTATTTTCAGAATTTCAACCATTTGAAATAATTATCGGCGTATTTTCTTAAAATTTTTCCCTTCTGTTTTCGTAAAACATGGATAAACCGACTTCTGAGTTATGTATTTCAAAAATTCTAGTTGAGCCTCTGTACAGAGGTCTGAGCTGAATACAGGCAAAATATTATTATAATAGAACCATTTTCCTCAAAAGGAGAACATTTGGAAAAAAGATTATTCTAAGTTCATTTTTTGCCAAAATATTGTATTTAAATATTTTTTTTTTGTCATAATGTCCTTGAAACAATTTTATAGATGTATTCTAATCTAAGTGACACTAAATATCATAAATATTATCCATTTACACGCTTTTGCAAAATCACGGTTCCGAACGTAGTCGGATACCTTAAAGTAGTTTTGCTTGATATTATGTATGAATTCTTTACGCAGTTTTGAATTGCAGAATTCAAGGAAAGTTCTCCACAGTATCAGAAATTCCCGTGTTTCTAAATAATTCAGTATATATATATATATACATTCAGTTGTAATAAATAAACCTTTCATTGAAAAACTAGTCCGTCATTAATTTTTACGTATTGGATTTCATGTGATCACTCAATTTCTTTTATTTTAAATTCAAATCTTAAAAATCACTGTTCCTTATCTTGTACATAGTTATTTTTCAATTTCTTTCTCAAAATCTGAACATTTTTATTGTTATTCTCTCGGACAAGGTTTAAATGACATTTTGCTTCCAATTTTTCGAAATGTAAAGATTTGTTAACAAGAAAATGTCCCAGAAATCATTTTT